TGGAATTAAAAATGGTAACGCTCTTCGAAGTCCGCCCAAAAACATTTCAAAGTTGAGTAAACGAGGGAAGGAAAAAACGATGTTCCAAAAAAGACTAGACTACCTTGGATTTCATATCTGCAATTAGCAATTAGACATCCGGCAACTGTTTATGGAATAACTTTATTGCCTTATTAGCTCACATAGCATCCTAAAAGAGAAAATAGATGTGTAAATTATAACTATCCACTAATTACATTATGAAACGCGGAGTAGAAAATATGAGCATACGTGCATAAAGTGGGCATTGAAAAGAAACGAATAAGCATGCAGAGGAAGACCGAGTAGAGCAATGTGATGCAACAGCAAACCTGATAACACATAAGGGCCTCTGTGTCACTCCCAGTATCCTTAACAACCTCCAAATCAGCAAGACGATCACCTGAAGATGGTGAAGATGATGTGGAAGATGGGGAATAGCTAAAAGTGGGTGTTGAAAGGGAAGAAGTGACCGAAGATAAGATAAGCGAGGAGGCCGATTCAGAGGGAGAGGAGGCCAAGCTGCTACTGAGGCTTCTACTTGTGATTTCAAGCCTTTTCATCGGTTGTCTCCACTGGTACATAACTTGTGTGCTCTCGTCATGATTGAGACAACTGCTAGCGTGTGCGGGCGAGATTCGACCTCGAGCAGAAGGCCGCCCTCGGCGCTGCATAGCAGGTGATGGTGGCCGAGCCAGACGTAATTGTGGTGGACTGTTGGGGTAATTTGGTTCATTGGAGGCGTGGGTTGGGGCTAGTGTCCGATGTCCTGGACAACAGTGATGCCCTGTGGACGAGCGATTTACAAGTGTGGATCCGGGGTGAGTCCGAAAGTCTTGGATGCCTAGCGATTTGGCTGCCTTGTCAATAGAAAATTCTTTCGATTGTGTTGCACAAGAATTGTCTGTAGCAGCAAAGATGGAGCCTTCAGGATCGTTGGCCAACTCAGAAGCAATGTACAAAGCGGCTAATGAACCAGCAGGGTCAGTGGAAACGACAGTTGAGGTGTATGAAGAAGTGATCAACGCCAGTGACTGGGTGGAATCAAATCCGCCCGGTTCTTCGGTCCGGCTCCGTTCGCCTTTCTCTATGCCGTCAATATCAAGTGTAGATTGACTCCTCCAAGAGCCTTTGTCTGCAGCCAGACCTTCGGCAGCAAATGCCCAGTGAAGTGCACACTCAACCAGATGCTGAGCCAACACTTGCAGTGAGTCGAGAGATTTCGAGGAAGCGACAATGTGAGCATCATGCAAACAAAAATCACCGTTCGGCGAATTAAGCAAAGAAATGGCGGCAGTGATTGCATTATCTACAAGTTGAGCGGCAACGTGTGAAACTAAAGCGCCCTCTCCTGTGTCGTGCAGAGGTTCTGAAAGACAGGGCACGCTAGAAGAGCAGGAATGTGTCCAATTCAGCTCTTCCTCACTTATGACCGATATGGCCTCCGATTCGCGGTCTTGAAAACCGACAGCCTGGGCTACTTGTAACTTTGAAACGATACCATCTTCCACGTCTGCTAAATATGCCTTAGGATCTGTACATAATCCGTCACCGGCCAGTCCATGGCCGGAATTTCGGTTTAAGAATGCTAAGGCAGACTCTAGCACCCACGAGGTTAGCTCACTCGCCAAGCAGGTGAGATCGGTGCAATGGGGTTCTCGCCCAGAATTCGCCATAGATTGATTCTGACGAGAATAAAGCAAATCATGAGGAAACAATTGTAGCCGGAAGGCGACATCGCTTGGCGATGGGGAGTTGGGCGCAGGCGGCGTGTTGGCGGGTGAAGAAAATGAAGCAAAGGAGTACTTGAGCTGATTGATGGGGGGTCGATTTGAGGCTGCCGGTGTTGGGGACCGCGGACGTGGAGATGGCGTAAAGTCGACTGAAGAAGACATCGATTCACTTGAGATTACGTCAATTGTGGTAGCGTGGCTCTCTGCCTGAATTTCAGGCTCATATGAAAATAGATTGGGGTGGAAGTGGGAAGGGAAGTGACGGCCAGTCGAAAAATCGAGAAACGGCTCATAGGATTTATTAAGCTGCCTGACCGGGCCTAAAGCCTGGTTCTGTTTACTTGGGAATGGTAGGCCACTAGGCCTATGGGTATGCGGAAGAGGATTGACAGTTATTCGATGTGATAACTATATGTTTAAAGATAAGATATTAACAATTCAAATTGAAAGAACAATGGAAGTGGTAATTTAATGAAAGATAACAAATAAAATAATGTGATTTATTATAAAGACCATAAAATAGAAGTACTAAATAATTAGAGACACGAAAATCGATGAGGAGAAGACAACAGTAATATAGGCATACGGAAAAACGGATATTTACAAAAATAAAGGTAGTGTGATGGGCAAGTAGTATGGGCAAATATGTCGATTAATGAAAGCAGCTATAGTACAAGATATAAGAAAGTTTGAAGTCAAAAATAAATAAAAAGCTTTAAAATGGGTTTTGATGAGGTGACATCATGCAAAAGGCTCACAAAAAGTTGTTGGAAAAAAAGAGTTCATGCAACTCAAAGAACAAGCCGAATATAAATTAAAAGATATGGATAAAAGGTGAAGTGCAGGGTAAATAGATCAAAGTAATGATGATTAAAGTAATATTGGTTGTAAAATAGATTGTTGGTTGGTAGAAATATCAAAATTCCGGTTGAGTAGAGAAAAAATAGGATGATTGTTTCGTATGTGGGTGACAACAAAATCAAATCAGGTGTGAGAATATATATATATAATAACAAACCGGCATTGTAAGAGAATCGTTTCAGAACAAAGAGACAGGATCAAAAGAATATAAATGTAAATATTTAAAGCTATCCGTAAAAGATTTTATAAGAAAAAATACGGCAAATCATGCTACAAGTCCAAGTCATCTAGCATTGTTACCACGCTACTGCCCAGCAATGGATCACCGAATAGATAGATTTATAGACGTTTTAAAGGCATCATAATCAGCATCTTAGGCAAGCAGCAATCCTCTATCACCGAAATACAATAAAGCAAGTAGACAAGTGGAGTCAACTGTGATACCAGAAAAAATAGTCTGTGTA